ATTTCACCTTATTTCTACACTGATATTCTTCCTTGATTAGTTTCCATCCATTGCTTCTTGTTCTGCTTTCAAGTGCTTTGGAGAATAGGTTGATCCTCTTTTCTCTGTGGTAGCCTCTTAGAGATTGGAGTATTGCTATCATGTGACCCCTCTCCTTTTAATTAAACTAGATATACCCAATTCCTGCAACCATTCTTCATACATTTTAGGCTGCAGTCCCTAATCATTTTTGTTGCTCTTCTTTGCACTCTTTCTAGTCTCAACATTTATATATATATATATATAGCATGGTGACTAAAACTGGATGCAATACTCCAAGTGTGGTCTTACCAAGGAATTATAAAGTGGTACTAACACTTCGTGTGATCTTGATTCTAGCGAGCTGCACTGGCTTCCTGTGGGTCTCCGGACGCAATTCAAGGTGTTGGTTATCACCTTTAAAGCCCTTCATGGCTTAGGACCAGATTACTTACAGGACCGCATACTGCCGCATAGTTCCCAGAGACCGGTGAGGTCCCACAGATTGGGCCTCCTTCAGGTCCCGTCGGCCAGACAATGTCGGCTGGTGGGCCCTCGGGGAAGGGCCTTTTCTGTGGTGGCTCCAACGTGGTGGAATCAACTTCCCCCCGAGATTCGAACTACTCCCACCTTGCCGGCCTTCAAGAAAGCCATTAAAACTGTCCTGTTCTGGCAGGCCTGAGGTTGATGTCCCTGGGGGGGGGGCGGGACACGATTGGGACATGTTGTATGAATGCACTCATTTTTATTGTTATATTTATTGTTTTAATTTTGTATGCCACCCTGAGTCCCTACGGATTGGGCGGCATATAAATTTTATTAATAAATAAATAAATATTTCTCTGTTAATGCAGTCTAGGACTGTGCTATTTTTTTGGTGGCTGCACTACACTGCTGGCTCCGTCCACTAGGACTTCAAGACTCCTCTCACCATTACTACTATTGAGCCAGGTTCCTCCTATTCTATACCTGTGCATTTGTTTTTTATTGCCTAAGTGTAAAACTATTTTTCTTATCATTGATTTTTATTTTGTATTTTGGAAACCAGAGCTGAAGTCAAGATGAAGTCTAGTTCCTCAAAGGAAGTAGTTGTGAATTGCTTCCTAAGTTTGCAAACTTAGCACATCTTAGCACATCAAATTCCCGTTGTTGTTTTTTTAAATGCATTGGTTCTCAGTTTCTGCTGGGCTTAATTCAGAATTCCAGTCTGAATCTTGAAAGTCCCTCATAGCTTAAGAGTGAAATACCTAGAGAATTTTTGTCTCCATAGATGTCTACCCTGAATTCCACTATTTTCAGCAGAGACTTTTTGTTGGTGGTATCCCAATTGTAATCTTTGGCAGTTACCTTGATGAAAAGACATTTGAAAATATTTTTTATCTTCAGCAAAAAAAAATAGTGCTAATTATTATATTGTGATTACTGTAATAATCACATTTTAAAATTATTTCAACTTTTTGAAAACATTATTGAAACATATGGTATAAATTGTGGCTTAAACAAGATAATAAGATACAATATATTTATTAATTTAATCATTAATAAGTTGACAATTCAAATAAATAGACATATCAACTAAAATAGGCAAAAGGTATTGTGTGGGACCATAAACAAAGCTGAACTTAGAAGCATATCAAACTGTATACCTGATTTATACAATGTGCAGCTGTATCCATAGCTAGTTTTATATCCCCTCCCTGATTAGAAAGACATCCACCCAAACAACTCTGACCTGGACTAAACTTCAATTTAAATTCAATTAAATTTAATATCTCATCTAGTTCATTATTATCTTGATACCTTGTTTAAAACATCCACCATTATGAATGGATCAAATGGAGAACAGCGAGAGAATTATAAATAATTATCTGGATGTTCGTGACATCAAGATTTTTCCTGCCATTGAATATAAAGATTAAATAAAAATAGTGATAAAAGAAAGACTTCCTGTATCTCAGATATAATTATTTTGTAGCATCACTTCCAGAATCATACAAGGGTGGAATGTGATGCTAGAATGGGATGCCTCCGACTCCATCCCAGTTCACCAAATACATTAATTGAAAGTATTTAACATTATCTAGAAGTCGAAGAGTACTCACAAGGACATATTGCCAGGACCTTGTACATTGAGACACAGGCACTTTTGACATAGTTGAATGTTTGCTGATATTGCTTTTGAGTTTTCAGACCCTCATATTTCTTTATCAATATTTACCAAATTACAGGCATTCACTCTTCAATATATATCTCTATATAGTTGAGAGTTTATAGTGCTACATTTAGGAGAGTGAGCTAAGCTTATCTTCTAGTGTGAATGTTTTTCTTTTAATATTCTTGAACTTATTCTACTTTTATTTTACTTTTATTTTAGATCTTTCTTTTTCATATAATTTAACACACACACACACACACACACAGTTTATATTCTAAGTCAGCGTGAGTCTACAGTGGAATACTGCAGGATCGGTACAAGTTTAAGAGATTTTGTATATGCATAATAGCATGGCAGCTACCATTATTCTTTCTTTATACTGAACATCTACTTTTGTTATGTAAAATAAAACAAACATGGAAGTATAAGCATTATGTTTTGGACAGATGCCCTCCCTGCCTACTGGGAGCAAAATTAATGGCAGCGACATCCCTTGTCCAACTTTTATGCCTAAATATGAAAAAAAATCACAGATCATTTCAGATTTGTTTATGTCATGCTATAAAATACATTAATGAAAGAAAGGACTTCATGATACATAGTGTGAACAGCACTGATGTAGAAAAAAATTAATTATGTTGCCTTTGGTCTATTATATGTCTACTGGCTTTCATTGATGGTGAAAAAAGTCTACCAACCTTATTTCTTTCCATTGTGTGGAAGACAGAACACAGAAGTAATCCAAACAATCTCATTTTTAAAAATTAATGAAATACCAATTACTTCAATAATTCCCATTGAAGAACCACACATTATACAATTCCTGCTTTTTTCAACAATGTAGTTTTCTGGAACATCTGATGTGTAACATTGCTGTAGAAGAAAAATATACTAAGAAAAGAAAGAATATCATAATACCATATTCTCTTTGTACAGTACACTGTCAAGCATTGCAGATAATTTTCCAGTGATTTTGCAAGACTCATGCACATAATATTGTTTAGTCTTCTATGTTCTTTCTATACCTGGTTTATATTTATATGCATTGCCTGTGTACAGTCTACAGAGCTGGGGGGGAGTTGTGCTTTCTTGCTTGCATACCTGGGGGGAAAAGTTGTTCCTGAGATTTGAAAATGTAATCTACACTCCTGAGGCCTTTTTTTAAAAAAAGGAAAATTGTACTGAGAAGATGCTGGCCACAGTCCAGTATCTGTACACTAGGCAGCAGATCTCTGCAGCTTTTTGCATTCCAGCTAAAGCACAGTGTGACAGCTCAGCTGTAACCACCTGCTGCCATCTGCCCTCATTCCTGCCAGCTAATAATACAAAAACAAGACTGTAAACAAACTAGCAAAAAGCAGGCATACTGCAGCATGGGAAATAGCTAGACTATGATAACAGGCAAGTAGAGGTAGCAACGGAAGGAGAGAGAAGGCTCCTCCAAGCTGATCTCAAGAGACTTCATCATGTCTTCCATAATGTGGTCTAGAAGCATAAAATGCATCAGAATCCCCTGGTCAACCCAGCTGTTGGGGCTACATTGATAATGCAGTGCTTTCTCTTTAGTAAATTGTAGTGTTCTTCACTTTAGGGATTTAACCCAGATACATGTCACCATAAAGGATACATGTAAATTGATGCATATACATACGTAATAAGTTGCAATTAAATTTGCTTTCTGCTTTGATTATGTGCCAGGAAGCCTCTGCTGACTTTTCACACAAACAGATTTTCTGCAGATGATCTGTTCCCAGCCTGGTTTTCCAATGGTGCACTCAATTGTAATTCAAGCCATCTACCTTAGTACTGGTTATCCTCTGTAATATGGAAAATTACAGCTTTAAAAAGTCAATTTTCCCTCTATCCTCTGAAAGTCTCAGGTCATGTCCATGGGCATACAATCTTATGAACTTGGGTGTGCATGTTGACAATCAAGTGTTTTTTATATGGCTCTATTTGTACCTCTTCCAGTAGATGAACCAGCCATACCCATTTTCCCAGCATAATACAGGTAATCCTCAACTTACAACTATTCACTTAGTCACCATTCAAAGTTTCAGTGGATCTCCCTGAGGTGTACTTATGACTTGGATTCAAATTTCCACCCCCAGTCATGTGATCACATTTTAGGCTCTTGGCAACTGGGCTGCATTTCAGTTGCAGTCATGTGACCACATTTCAGACACTTTTGCCAAAACCCAGCATTTACTTCCATTTTTTTGGCAAAACCAGCCCAAATGACTGTAGCATTCACTTAATGACTACCACATTCACTTTATGATATCACATTCATTTAATGACTGCCACAAAAGATCAGAAAATCAGATTAGTCACGTATCAAATCAGTTGCTTACACTAACCCACTTTACGACCATTGTTGAGTTATGACTGTGATGGCAGGCTCTATTACAATCATAATTTGAGGACTGTCTGAGTCATAAAGAAAGATAATGTCCATGAAAATAAAGATGCATTTCCTCAGTTTATGAATAACACACAGTGAATATATTGTTAACATGGAGTAAAGTTCAAAGGAGAAGATTATACTGTATTATACAGTGGACACTATATCACTCATTTGCATGAGAGATAATTGAATCCCAAAGATATTTGATAGCAGGGTGAATAAGTGTTTTTCTCCCTTCATCGTATTGCAGTGTAAGACCCAGCTTCTGAATTAATCCATGGTAATAGTTATGCTATTGCAAGCCTATCTTTTGTATGCATAATAGAAGCTAATGAAAGCCTGTTGCATAGGATCTCTATGGAAGGCCAGTATGGCCTCTTTTGACAAAGATCATTGAATTTTTTTCATCTCTGATCTTAGGTTCAGCAGACAAAGAAACAACAGCTGGAGGCAGCTGAATGTGACAGACTCCATCTGCATTCAGCACACCGTCTGCACGTAAGGAAAGCCTGCCTGTTCGAGCTTACTTTAAATACATATCCCTGCATCAAAGGATAAACACAGGTAAAATTCAACATAAATTATAAATCTGGCATAGTTGGGGAAGCACAATTTACAGTTCAATTCCATGCACTTCTATTTCAAAGTCATTCCTACTGAATTAGGTTGAGTTTACCTTTAGGAAGATGGGTCTCAAATTGTTGATTACAAGTCTGTTCATATTAATCTCTTCATCAAAATGTTTAGCAGATCTATATCCAATTGATGCAGAAGACTAAACAAATATAAAATCTAATTATGTAAATTATCAACATTTTCATACCATTAAACTACAAAAAGACACCCTTCAAAGGAAAACTTAAGAGTTAGGTACTGAAAAGAACAATCGAGGTAGGGAATAGAAGAAACCTGATTGTAGTTCAGGCTTTCATATAACAACTAGTTAATTTCCAGATTCATAAAATATTTTAGAAAGATGCATATTTTTTATACTTGCTTATATATTAGAAGTTGGATGGTTGCAACTATCTACGAAGTTAGAATTTAGCTTTAGGGATACTAGCACACAACATTTGCAAAGCAAAATAACCGCAATGTAGCATCAGATTTGCTTCACTGTGGGCTGAGGGCCAAGACATGACATGTGTACCATGTACAAATAGTGTGGCTTAGGTAAGAAATCCTGGAAGAGCTGTAGATGGAGTCTCATCCAGATGGTAGCAGCCATAAAAGAGGAAATGCAATAATACTATGACTTTTCCTCCAGTGTCTTTTTGCTTGTGAAGTACATCCCATATTTTATGAAATTCCATCTGTTCATCAAACATTGGGAAGAGACATGAACTGCATCTCTTTGCCCTCTTGATCAGGAACGCTTCAGAGATACACTTACCAAAAGATGGAGATTTTAGGCGGAGAATAGAGGGATTAAGGAAAATGTTCTGGAGAGGCCTGAGAAATAATAACCAGGATGTAAGTAGTTCAGGAAGGAGCATGCAGAGAAGCTAAAAAGTCTGCAGGGAGTCCACAGTCAGGAATGTGAGCAATGCTGCTAAGAGACAGATGTTCCTCTACAGGCCCCACTTAAAATTTTGCTGGGGGCTTGTGGAATATCCAGATCACAAAGGGGTTTAGAAAAGTTTTCAGTGAAGGGAAAGGATATCCCTGATTATGAAAGGAGTGGCGATTCAGATATTTTAACAATCTTCAAATTCAGCTGGTAAGTCTTCGGGAGACGGCAAGCCTTTTCAAGTTGTGCCATGATAACCCTTAATTAGATATCCTAGTATAGACTAACAGCCTAGTTCCAAAAAGAGGACTGTGGTTCAAGGAAATATCTCTGGCCTTAGATCCCTTTATTTCAGTTCCAGAGTTGGCATTATGGCTGCAATTATGTGTGATAAAGGCCTTCTGCATTCTGCATACACTATTATGGACCATCGCACAGTCAATATTATTATTATTATTATTATTATTATTATTATTATTATTATTATTAGATCAGAACATACTTAATCACACTTGCAGTCCAAGCAGGCTAAACAAAATATATTTCAAAAAGACATGCCCAGGTAATGTCAGGGATTGATTCTGGAAATTCAGCGCAAAACAAGTGCTTTGTGGTCAAATGCATGCAACTAACCCTGAGCTTTGCTTCAATAAGCAGAGTTTGAATGAGAGTAAATTGGGAATTGCTTTTCCTCCAATATTTCCCATCACATTACACCCTGCAGAAGTAACAGAAAGAAGAGCTCACACACTATTTCTGCATATATGTATTCTGTATGTGTGTGTGTGTGTGTGTGTGTGTGTGAGAGAGAGAGAAATATGAAGTATTCATATGTATAATATCTGCATTTATATTTATGCAGACAATATTCTACATTCATGTCTTTATTATGTATTTATATTCACTTGCTATATTTTTAATCTTTCCACTAATTACAGATTATGAGGTCAATTAATGATTCACTGTGATCAAAAGATGCAGATTGATTAAAAGTCTGAAGTAGAGTTTATATTTCACCCTAGACACATTTTGCTCACAGACGTTCAAGCGGATGGAAGAATTTGCTGACTTCTCAAGGCTAGAAAACTTTTAGCTTTTTTTAGGAGACATACATGCAACAAACAAAACTCTACCCATTATTTATTATAATTTCCCTTTAGGCTCTAGATAGAAGCCACTTAAGCTAACTTTTGTTTATCTCTTGATGGAGAAGTACAGACTTTCCAGCATACAGATTCTGCTAGCTTATTTGACAAAATCAGTGCTGCTGACCAAATTTAGCTCATTGGAGATCTATAGCATTAATAGAAAGCTCTGCTAGGATGTATCTGCACTGTCATTCATTAATCAGTAATCCTTCATAAGCCGGCCATGTCATCCACAGTGCTCAGTGTGTATGCTTAAATAAAATACCAAAGCAGTCAACTGTGAAGGAATATTGGCAGCCTGTTTAGTTAATGTTGTTCATTTTTTTGACGCAAAACACTCTGTTCTCAGGCTGTAAGCAGACAAGCCTTTTATTGCAGCAAGGTAATAAAAAAATGCCTTCTTTCAGATCCATTTGTTTCCGCATTTTAACATGCCAAAAGACATACAAAAGGCCTTGTAATTTTCCATGGCTATCAATCCAGTATCTTCATAATACAGCTTTCACAGGTCAGGCTTGGTCAACACATTAAACATAATACAGTGGAAAAGCAGCACATCTCTGTGTGTTCATTTCAGAGAAGAGATAGGAGAGTGTCTCATAAATAAATAAATAAATAATAAATATCCCAGAAAACCAGCCAAGGAGAAAAGGGGTTGCACAAAGATCTTTTTTCTGCTAATATATGTGATTAATGCTACAAAAAACAGTTAATGAGAATGCTGGTGTTACCATTCTCCCATTCTCAAGCTATGCAGTTGATTGTGTTTTCTGAAAATTGGAATGGGACATTTAGGTGCCGACCCTTGGCGCTGGCCACTTTGCTCTCAGCCAACCGCTGCCACTGAACTGCAGGCTTTCCACCTCACTGTCTATCTCCCAGTGCTTGTCCACTGCCAATGAATGCCCCCCCCCCGGCCCTCCACCTCCAGCCCTTCGTCCCGGGCCAGTCCGAGGCATGGTTTGACCTGGACATTTCACTGCTGACTGGGTGGTGGGCAGCAACAATGGCGCTGGGGGAATACCACATGATTGGCAGTGGGCGGGATGATCACGGGGCTGTGGGGAAACAGCACAAGATCAGCGACAGGCAGGCAGGGCAATCGCAGGGGCTGGGGGGCACACAATCAGTGTGCAATGGGTGGTAGGCTGTGGCTCTGCCTGCCTACTGGCTGGCTTCCTTGCTTTCTGTCTATGCAGTGAAAACCTTTTCCCCCGATGAAACAGTTTTGCACAGTAACTCAAGTTGCTGTTGCTGACGAAAATCATCTCTTTCCCGGTCCCTCTTTTCATATCATTTCTAGGACAGCTGTGCTGTCTTTTGAACTGCAGAGACAGCAGGTTGAGTGGAGGGGGGCACTGCAGTGCAAAGCAGGCATTTGGCAGCCTGTGGCAATTTCCCTCACTCCCTCCTTCTCTCCCAGGCAGTGGATCTCAAAGTTGCAAGCACTGTCAGATAACCTCATTGATTCCCCCCTCCCTCTTCCCCCATAGCCGATTGCCATGGGTTGCCCTCCCCACAGCTTGCCGCCGATCGCATACTGCTCACCCACAGCCTGATTGCTCTGCCCTCTGCCAATCGTGCGCTGCCCCCCCAGCCTCATCACTGCTGCTCACTGTTTGATTGGCTGGCAGCTATTTGTCCAGTGCAGCGAAACACCTGGGTCAAACCATGCCTTGGGGAATGAGCTAGGAGGAACAGCTGGGAGTGGAGGGCCAGGGGGGCTATTGGTGGTGGACAGTTGCTGGCAGATACCCAGTGGAGGTAGAAAGCCTGCTGTGATTTGGCAACAGCAGTTGGTTGGGAACAAAGTGGGCATGGCACCTAAACATCCTAAACCCCTGTAATAAAAAAAAGGGATGGCAGAAATAAGTATCTTAACTTTGTATCTCATGCAGTCTCTAGTGTTTAATTTATAGTATGTTTTAATATAGAGAAAGCCTCAAACTAGTATCCTTCACAACCATCTCAGTTACTACCATTCAATCTATTAGTTCATGAATTCCACTTAATAATCTGCATTAAGTAGGCAAGATTTCATAGGTGCACTAACCTATGATTTGTTCTGACTACAGCTACATTTGCATATAGCAGTAAGCCATAAAACATGGTTTGCAAACTGTAATAGTTGAGTTCACATATCTGCAGTTCTATCATAGTCCTTTTGAGATTAGGGGTAAATCAACAAATGTGCCCACAGATTCAAAGTATTTTCTAGCTAGCTTAATAAAATAAATGTAAATAAGCCACAATGGAGCAAACAGCCTTGGGGGTGGGTTATATTGTTGCATCTCAGAAAGGGAAGCAAGAAGATGTACAGGCTTATTATCTCATTGATTTGAGTTGTATGCTGCAGAAGATGCCAGAACAAATGGCAAAGTAATTAATTTGGAACCTAGAGAGAACAATAATACAACATAAGATGAATTTAAAATCAAATCATGCCAGACAATAAATGAACAAGAATGGGAAGGTAGCGGGAACAGCATAGCTCACTTAAATTTATATGATCTCTTTTCACTTTAATGTCAGTGCAAAAACAGGCCTAGTTCTGGAATAGTTGTCCTTAACAGTTGGAACTGGAAATTGTGTCATTAAGCAATATAGTTATTAAGCAAGACATCAGGTAACCACAACGGACTTGCCCAATTTCGCCTGTAATTGTTAAGCAAATCAGCTCAGGTTGTTAAGCAAGGCATTTGAATCTTGTGATTTTACTGCTGACTTCTCCATTGACTCAGCTTGGCAGTAGCCAGCTGTGAAGGTTGCAAATGGTGATCAGATGATATGGGATGCTGTAACAGTCATAATTGCCAACTGCTTGTGAATCACCCTACTCTTGTTCACATGACCATGGGGATGTTACTATAGTTGCAAATCTGAAGACCAGTCATATAGTTACTTTT